CAAAGTTATGTATGTTCACACCCTTTGATGTAAGTTCTGCACATGTTACATATGCTAAATCATATGTAACTTGACTCTTGAAACTGAGCCTTGAGTTGTAATTGCTATTTTTAAGGTTTTTATTATAATACGTTGCCCATTGGTACTCTGGTTTAGTACTCAGGGCTGACAACTTCCCTTTAAACTTCTTCTTTGTTATCTTTTTAATCTGGGCCGTTCAAAAAATCTCTTCTCCTCACAAAGTCCCCGAGTTGTTTGTTTTAAAGTTGATTTCTAAGAAATTGTTTATCATTCTCTCTTGGGCTCTTCTTTCTTCTCATTCCATCTACTCATACTTTGACGCCGCTCCCAAAACCCCTTCTACCGACGCCGACAAAGATATTGAACTTGGCCCTGTTGCTCCTGCTCCAACTCCTCAAAACCAAACTCCTCAAAACACTCTTCCAGACAAATTTGTTGAGATTGATCTAGGTATGGCCTTTCCTCTAGTTTTCTTCATTATGATGACTTGATAAATGATTCTAACCATTCCTTCATGATTCGCTCATTGATTTTAGGTGAAGGTCCCTCAAATAACGGTCTTCCTGGTCCTCCCCGCCCTTTTCTAACGTGCGATGTTTAAAGAACTCGATTTGAATCTTTCATGGTATGTCATCTTAATCTTCATCCATCTTTTCTTTCCAATTTATTCAACTCTTCCTTCATATACTGACATTTTGGTTCACATTTGTATGTAGATGTCAATCTTCTTTTTTGTTTAAAATTCTTTGATTTCTGATTTTCATGATTATTCCAATACTCTCATTTGAAATCTTAGTATCTGTTTAGAGATTTTGGATCGATTAATTGTTTTAAGTCTTCATTCAAAGTCGTGATCTTCTGCTGGAAAAATATTAGATTTATTTTGGCTACCCTCATTCAAAGTTTGCTTACCTTTATTGAATGGAATCAGAATTAATCTTTGACTTGACTGTTATGTGCAATGTTTGTTTTTCGCGGGATTTCAATCAAATGACAGAATGTGCATATATTTCAATGAGAAATCGATTTCCGCATCATAAGACTACAACAGTAAGACTATAGGATACAATATGCAAAATCAAGATCGTCATTGCTAAGTTACAGTATTGAGACGGCCGCGGTAACAAACACTTTACATTTTAGATATGGACAAGAAAGACATGTTCATTGTCTGCATACATCCCTCTCAAAAACCCCATCTCTTTGTCTCTTGTCACTTTTCTCATTCTATCCTTTTGCATTAATGGTGCTTTGTACGCCCTCCCTTCGTGCTCAGCTGTGCATCGAGTTTAGAGCTGGGAGTCCCTTTTTGATGGGGTTGGAAGGACAAATATCAGCAAAGCACATTCAATGCAAGTGATGGTGAAGAAACACTGAACAAGCTTACTTAGACTCATTGATACAAAGATAGATGTGGAGCAAATCTTTCCATCACAACTTCCCCCTTTTTCCGTAGCAAATTTTGACAATCAATGTTCTCTACCTCAGATCTTACCACCCTGTTCACTCTGGTCTCGTTCAGGTGGTTCACGTAGAGCTCAAGCCAAATGAATCCAAAATGTCGACCAAGAATTGAAACTGTTCGCTAAGAGTCCATCCTCGCACAGCTTGCGATCAATTTTCAACCCGAACTTGACAGCTTGAGGCCACACATCTTCTGGCTAAGTGCGCTCTATCAGGTGTCGTTTTCTGGCTAGTGTTCGTATCTAGATCGAGGAAGTGCAACATGTTCGGGAGGTGAGTTGTTCGATAGACTTTCAGAGATCTTCATTGATCCATTTTTACATAGACCTTTCAAGTTTGCTAATCCAAAGGAAACACACCGCTGGTCAGTTTATATACTCAAAATGAAACCAGCTCTAAGTCAAACTCACAACTTCATGGGATTCGCATGACCTACAACCAACGTTCAATAAAGAAGACCATAATCCAGAGTTGCTGAACCAATAAATGTCCTATACGATTGCACAATCCGAAGTTCAAAGGGGTCCGAGTTTGAGAATAAAAGTTCTGAATGCTGTCGAGGTTTGGTTTATTTGACCAAGTTCGTCTCAATGCTGGGATATATGCGCTAGTAATGTCACTTGTGCGAAAGGTCGGGATTCGTGTAAAAGGTTTGCCAGCTTTACCGTTTGATGGAATCGACAATTCATCGTGAACATCAATTCGATGTATTACTTTGACCTCAAGAAATCTTAGCAGTCTTTAAGCAACCCTGTTGGTATCATGAGCAGCTCTATCTTACACTCCTCAACGAATAAAGCCGATGAAGCAAACGAGATGTCCTATTGTACCTCGTTAAGCTTGAAAGCATTCGAAGTCCTCCGATTCCCTATCATTAGATAATATGCAACGCGATTTGATAGCCGACGTATGTATTGCTGACAGGACTCAATTCTGAGCTGCTCCTCATGGATGTTGAAGATTGGCCGCCAGAAGAACCTTTTCAGGCCGCAAGATGTATCTTCAAACCTTGCTCAGGTGTTGAAATATAGCATCATAACCATCATCATGCAGAAATGTGTTTGCTTACCACAAAGTGCTGCATATACCAGACTCTTTGCTGCACTCTTACCTGGCTCAATACCGGATGCCGCACCTGAAGTCACTTTCAAGACCTTTTCCAAATCAAGAATAGTGGTTTCAAAAGAAAGCCCAAATTATGCAATCCAGATAGCCAGGATCTCAAGCCAAAAAATTAGTAAAATTCTTTGATCCATTTTGTACTTTTGGACCTAAATATGCAACCAAGATTTCAAGTTGAACTCAAGAGTAAACACAATTCAATTTATATCACTCAGCCGGTGATTTATTCTTTCTAAATTCGTTTTTCTTTGTTTTTTTTTCAGATTCTCATTCCTTCAATCAATGAAGTACACTTCCAACTTCAGAAGCCATAGTGCAACACCCCAAACCTGACTGCCAGATCCAGCTATGCCACTGGTATCTTGAGACCAGAATTTTTTTCACCAATGAATATTTCCAATCTTTAGCAACCCATAACAAAAAATGTGCATTGTCATATTTCACAAAACGAGATGATCAAAAAATATCCACAAGTCTCTCAAAGATGGAAAGTAAGAGATGAAGAGATATGATTGATGGACCGTTGTAACCCGCATTATCCATCAACTTAGCGTTAACTGTATATCAAAGATACATTATTGAGAACAACATTCAGAGTAAGTAAATAGGTTGGTTTGATTAGATGACTTGGAAAAGACGCAAAAAGACGAAACTTATGTGGTTTAGCTACAGTACGGATTTGAGCAATCCTGGTGATCTTTTGATGAGCGTGTCATCAATGGTTACACCTTTTTTTCAACATCTCTTTGAAGATGGTACTTTGGAAAATAAGAAATCTAAAGAAGATTTCCATGTCAGTCTAGTCAATTTGATAGAAAACAAACCAATCAAGGAACTAAAGAAAAAAGCTTTGACATAGGTAATAGCATTGATTTTATGAAGGATATCATTCCATAGATTTACTAATCCTTGGATTTTTAATTTGATGTTGAGCTAACCAAGGTCGATTGGCATTTTGAACATGTTCTGAATTGATCCTATCTTGTGCTATTAAACCGGCTATTTGGTCTTTGCTAAGTTCGTTGAAAGCTAAAGTTTGACTGATTTGATTTACTTTGGCTACTTCTGCTTTTAGTTCTCATGATCGCTTCTTGGTTTGAGTTAATTGGCACAACACAATGATACTAACCATACATCCAGCCACTAGGAATGTAAAGAGATTGATAAGAAATCGAGTTGATGACATCTTGGAGTATTTCAAAAAGAAATTTCGGAAAGAAAAAGTTATATACATATAAGAATATGAAATGAAAGACTTGATGGTTCAAGGATTGATTTCTTAAAGCTTTATTGATAGAAGATAAACAAGAATAGTATAAGAGATTTAAGTTTTCTTAAATCATGTTGCTGGCAAAACAATACAACCAAACTCTTCCTCTTAATCATTCTTTATTTGTCTACCAGTACCTTGACAAAGAGCCACTCAAGGTTCAAGTCCATGATCATAGTTCTAAACCAGTGAAGTAAGAAAATATAAAAGCTTATTAAGAGCATCGAGTCAAACTTGAGGTTTAAGTATCTTAACTTTATGATTTTCTTTTGGATCTTGAGCAACCAAAACAAACGATTTCAAATCTTAATTCTTCTTTTTTAACTATGGATCACTATTATCACCTAACGTCATATTTGAGGCTGAGGCCCTTTGTCAATCATCATCAACTGATGAACAATCTCTAATCTGTGGCTTGATTTATCTCATGTCATTTCTAACATCATCTGAATTTCTTAGGACTTTTTTGTCTTCTTTCCATACTTCAACATCTTCAAAACTTCTTAATTTTTTCAAACCTCAAATCTTATTTCAATCCCTTTTATCTCCTTACAAATCATCTTTCTCAATTACCCAACACATATACCATAAATTGCAAAAAAAAAACCTTAAAATTCAATTCATATAAAACAAACTTCATTTTTAAGTTTCATCCAAACCAAACTCGAAAAAAAAGGAGAACCACAAATACAACCAAAAAAAAAGAAAAAAAAATAACCACCAACGAAAAAAACCAAAAAACCGCTACAAAAAAAATAATAATACCCAAATTGATAAAAAGATAAAAAGATAAAAAACGTCTTTTGGAAGGAAAAACATATAAGTGTACTTTCAGTAGAAAACCTTGGTCTTAAAGATAAATAAAAATGAAATGATACATTGGAAACCTACCCCCAAAGGTTTTAAAGATAAACCAAAATGAAAAACTTTATAACCTCAAAACAGAAAAAAGATACATCCGAAAAGTAGTATAGAATGCCATAGTTTGATAAAAGTGAAAAAAAAATAAACAGGTTGTTCTTCTTTTAAAGAAACATATTCTCAAATTCGAAAAAATTGTTGGTTTTTTTCATTTGTGATCGGTACTTAACCGTCATTAAACCCACATGAACCTTTTTTCTACTCAAGACTTTTTCAAAACCTAAACAAAAAAAACCATTAAGAAAAAGCAAGGTCTAGGGATTAAGAATGAGTTTCAGAGATCAAGACTCACTTTTGAAAGTCTTTGTCTTGTACGAAGTAAAGTGATTCTACAATCCAGTTTAAACTTGACCAAACTTTTCTGAAACCGTTTAGGATTCAAAACAAGATTGGCAGGATTAAGATGTGAAGAATTCGAAGCTCGATGATGATCCAAAGTTTCAAATACCAAAGGGTTCTTTAACCACATTGACGTCAGCGGCATGTTTTCTAATCCTTCATTGAGATCTAAATCCAACTCGAGTGAAGGATGTAATAGACCAACAGGTGTTGGATCATCAATGACTAGAACAGTCGGCTTTAATGATTTGTGGTGTGATAAGTTTAAGTTGATGTTTGAGGAGGTAGAGGATGAAGGTCTTTCGAGAGTAGTGAAATGTTTTAGGTTAGAAGAAGCTTGGAAACCTAGTGAGCTTGATAATCTTTCGTCTTTGGATGAATGGATCGATAAGATCTTTTCTCGGATAGGTAAACTTGACAGTCTTGGAGTGCTTTCGAATGATAGTTTAGAAGAAGATTGCGACCCGGCTCGGTTTCGATCGGGTAATCTTAAGGGTAAACTATGTTTACGTGAGGAAGGGTGGTGTAAGTTGAGGTTCATGGGGCGAGGATAAGATGTGGTAGGTGGAGGTGGTAGGAATGAGAACCGATCTGAGCTTGAAAGTTTAGAGGATGAAGCGGTTGAGCCGGACCTTTCGCGGTGTCGAGAACAACAGAAATCATGGTGAGTCAATCGAGCTGAAGGAAAGCCAGGGGTCGTGGATGATGATAATGATCTTTCGTCTTCGTCTGAATCGGAATCGGAATCGGATGAACTGTTTTCTAAATCTTCTTGATCTTGATCGTGTTGATGATGATGATGTCTAACAGGTGAAACCGTTCGAAACTGACAATCTAAAAGACCCACATCCAAAAAAACCAAAACCAAAAGAAATGTTGAAAGGTAGATCAGTTTAAGTGTGAAGTCTGTTTGTTGAAAAGTTTTTGAGTTCACTTACGTTCTGGATCATGTTCGATTCCATATTCATCCAAGATCCTATGCCGTGATTGATAATAAGAAATCGAAGTAGAAGACCAAGACCGATTCCTAACATGTGTGGCTCGATCATAAAACCCATGTGCTTTAAATTTACCTTTTTCTCCCATCATCATCATAAGATAGATCACAATCAAAAGAAGTTCTAAAAAGAAAGATGAGAGAGAGAAAAAAACAATAGTATAGAGAAATCAAATCAACAAAACGTCATGAAAGTGTAAGAAAAAACGTTCAAAGTGGTCGGATGGATGGATGAATAGATCAGAATAGAAGAAGTGAAGATAACGATTGCGGTGCACGAAAAAGAATCTCCTGAAGACCAAAGAAGTTAACCAAAAAGTTTGATGAAATTGAAAGCGGGGCAAAGACAAACAGAATCGAAGAAGTGGAAAGAGGGAAAAGTGTTTTTTCTACACAGCCGATAATGATTCTTTCTTTAAAAAAACCCTTGAAGTCCAGCTTTACTTGAGCAGAGTATTGTGGTTGTGTACAGATTGACAAAATAGATGAAAAGGATCTTGTGTTTGGAAATCTTGGTTTGATTTCATCCGCACGCCGCGGAACCGAAAATCCAAAAAAAATAAAAAAATCGATAAACAAAGATGAATCTTTTTTGGAAAGTGGAGGGGATACACAAAGATTTATCTTACGTATTCGTATCGTATGATGAAAAAGATAAATCGACAGATATAAAAAATACGTCAGGATAAGAAAGAAAAAGATAAAGTGTAAGATGAAATCGTACAAAACCAAATCTAAAATCTAAAAGAAATTCAATCTGTAGCACCAAAGAGAAAAAAGTGATCAAGTAGAAAGTAGAAAGAAGATGATCAAAAAAAAAAGAAATGAAAAGAAATTTGTTTCTTGATTTTTTTTTGGGGGGGTAATGGTTGTAGTGAACTCAACAACAAATTCATGTGTAAATTGTCTTTTTACCGTGTGTAGATGATCAAATCCAATCAAAGCAGAACAATTTAAACCGGGAATGTAAGTAGAATATGCCTAAAACCCGAAGAATAAGAAAAAACATAAACAGATTCAGAATCGGAATCGGAGGACGGGAGGAGTAGAGGGTATGATTCAAGAGAAAATCATAGAAGATGAAATTATTTTTGTTTTTTTTTGGGAGAAATCACATGATTTTGTTCACTTTGATGAGAATGTGAAAAAATTATGTACCGTATCACAAGGAAGGTCCTTTTGAAAGCTTGAAGTGTGGTTTATTTATAAACTTGGTCAGGGGTTTTTCACTTTCACTATGTAATCGAGGAGTATTGAAACCCCCAATACATAAACAACAAAGTGAAAAAAACACAAGATGACTAAAAAGGAAATTGAGAGAGAGAGAGATGAGGGATAATCGAATGGTATGGTTTGTGAGGTGGGTTTTTGGATGACCATTGACAAGTTATAGGCTTAGAAAATCTTGTTGAAGCCTTGGTCGTAAGGGTTTCCCCACTTCACTGATCATTAGGATATGTATATCTCCGTCTGTGTGGGAAGTGTGTGTGGGTGTGTGTGGAGGTGTGGAGGTTGGATAGACAACTAACAAGAAACTTTAGTTCGGTTATGTTTATAGCTTGAAAATTTTCCTGGGTTTGGTAAACGAGCACACTTTTACTTTGAACTTTAATAAGTTGGAATGAAAGAAATATGAAACGATTGAAAGAGAAAAGAAAGGAAAGAAGGAAATCAAAGTCGAAAACTCACCTTTTTTTAAAGCCAGATGAATCAACCAAGAAGACTTCAAGAAAATCAATCAAAAGGGTTTCTTTCCAAATGAATAAGAACCGAGAGTTTTGTAAAAAGATAACAATCAATGATTTATTTAGATTGATTTGTACAAACAACCTAAAGAAGCAAACAAGTGATTTTTCCAAAAAACCAAAAAAAGACGATAAAAAAAGAGGTTAGTAAGTTCGAATAAAAAGATGTCGATAATTCTGTTTTGTAACCAATTCAAAAGGAAATCAAAACCAAAACCACAAGAAACCAAGAAGAAAGAAACAATGGTTTTCCTAAGGAAGGCAAGTCAATCATTTCCAGACACAAATGGCTGAAGTTGAACCTTTTTTTACTTCCGGTTTCTTGAAGGTTTTCTTTTTTTCCTTTTTCGTTACGATTTCAAGGTCAGGAACCAACGAGCAAGGCAAATCGATAGCCAAGGAAAAAAAAACGCATACAAGCGGATTGTTAGGTAGGTTTGAACCCGATTTCTTTTTGGTTGAACTTTTTTTTTTTGACGATTTTCATACATAAGATGTTGAGAGTGTTAATACTTGCCATTTTTTAAGGTCCGAACCAAAAAAAAAAATTGAAAGGAAGCGGGTCTTTTGTACAACTTCCAACTGATGGGATCCTTGATTTCTGGTTGGGTTAGGATAGTGAGCTTACATAGTGGTTTGGTTAAAGTGGGTCAAAAAGTGAGGTACAAATAAACGAACAAACGGATCGATAGCTTTTACACTTCCGGATGATTTTTTTCCTTACAAATCGTTTGTTGGTATTGATTTTGTCGGTTTTGACTTTTCTATTCTTAAAGAAAAGGATGCCGATACGGGAACACCCCCCACTCCACTTGCAGGACACCCTCCACCCTTAGCTGTATTCTCACTGTGTATCAGTATGTGACCCAAAATTTCCAAAGTGTTGAGAAGAGTAAAAATATAGACTCATTAGGATTTTCAGAAACATATGCCACAGTAGTGTATGCCTGGTTGAGCCTAGAGCTTGGATTCTGAAGGAATTTTGTTCTAGAGTTTGCATGATTTTGGATTTCAGGATGACTATATCTGACACTGACCAATCAAGGGATCTTTGACTTGATTCAATCAAATTCAATCAAAGATTGTTGAAGATGAAGAACTTTCAAAAATCCTTTTAATGTTTTGATACAATGTGACTTGATAGAGGTCACTTCTTCAAATCATGAAGAAAACATGACGTACTTTCCCTTTGTTTGAGCAATTCTTTATAGTTCTGCTCGAAATTGGTTGTATAAGGTGTGGGGTGAAGTTTGATTCAGTGACCACAAAAAGTCTTGTGTCATGGTGTGGCAGGTGTTGTTGGAAAGTCTTCTGTATAAAAGAACAGGAGTGATCAGGGGAGAGATAGAAAGATGATAATGAACCAAGTCCAGAGTGGATCAAGACCAAGTGCCAGGTTGAGTAATTGAGATCATACATCCTTGATCTGCTATACAATTGAAAAGAGATCATCGTCAGATGGTCTATCAGATGCTAAGGAAGGTGGTTGGACAGATCAAATTGGATATAAGGAAGAAGATTGAAAGATTAAATGTTGGAATTGAATCACCTTGAGATTGGAGCGAGAGTTGAAAAATAAATGAAAAAGGCGACCTGATACATTCTTGATACAGAATCAGTTTTGGGAGTTTTTGGCTAAGGCTCATGGTGCTATGTGTGACGGCCGGAGGCCTAGATTGCAAAGGTTTCTGGCCCAAGATGCAGACCTTTTTTGAGAAAAGGGCTGGGAGTACATGCGGGTGGCTACACTTGACACTGAGCTACTCCACTGGAGTGCTCCCCACTCCTGAGTAAATAAAACAACAATTGAAGAAAGAACAAACAGATTTACAGACCCTTGGAAACTTTAATCCCCAGTTTGACTAAGAAGGGTGGCGGGCAGGAAAAAGAAAAATTGATGAGAAAAGAAGCAAAAACAAAAAGGATTTGCTGAATTGAATACTGTAACTGCTGAATTGAAATCTAATAGAACCATGTTTTTTGAGATGTTTAAATTTTTGTTTCCAACGATTCTTGGTGACAAATTTTGAAAGTAAGGAAAGGAAATTTTCTGCTATACAATGTTTGATGGAGGAAGAAAAAATGAATCACATTAATTGTTGACTTGGCGAGAGCCATTGGGGGAGTCTGTTGTTTGTCATTTTTTGTTGCACCTCTTTTCAGAGAGGTTTTTTTGCACATCTTTGCCTTTGCCCAGGTGTCATTTCCCGTTCACAGATTCCACTTGGTTGATACCAGTACCAACCTTTGATTGTTAATCATTATTTCATGATTCAGACCTGAATGTGACGACACTTTTGGCATTATCATCAACACCGCAACCGCCCCGCGCAAAAGAGCATGTGCGGAGTGTGTGCGGAGTGATTTTGGCCTCCGCTACAGCCCCTACTTTGCTGAGCGCAGCCTGCGCAACACGCCCAGGGGCTGAATTCCCCTGAGCGCAGCAAACCACTACGCACAGGGCCCAGACCCAAATTGCTCCGCTGTGGTGAGCAAGATCTCTACTTAAGCAAAAAATTTAAAAATTATGTGAAAATTTGTATTTTTGGTCAAAGGCAAATTTATTATTGAGGTTATTAGTCATCAAGGGTATCAAAGTTGATTCATAACCTGCATTTCATTATCTTTCAAATCATATATTTACATAAGCAATTGATAAGACCATTTAAGAGTAAAGAAAAATTCAAAAAGGTCAGTAAAAATAGTATAAGAGTGAAAATCAAATTGAAAGAATTAGTAAGAAGGGATTTGAGGAAGAAGAACATTTAGTTTGGATCTTGAGGAATGGAAACTGTTATGAAAAGAATGAAAGAAGAAGAAGAATATTAAGAAAGTTGGAGGAAAATTCGAAAATATGGGTATGAAAGGCTGGAAAATGGTTTTTAGGTTATTATTATAAGAGTTATTGGTTCGGGAAGGTTTTATTATGAAAGGGAAGGACAACATTAGTCATCAGCAACTTTAATCACGAGGATTGATAAGGGAGGTGTGAAATTATTCAAGAAAAGGGAAATTTTGAAAAGGGGTACTATGGTATTAATTCCTGTGTAGTGATGTCATTGATGGATTGATTGCGCCAAAAGTTTTTCAGAATGATTTTGGTGCTGTGTGATTGATTGGAGTGCTGTGGAATGATCTTTTGATAGAAGGAAAATCATTATTAGACGTGAAAAAAGTCAAAATTTATCAAAAATGGAGGTTTCAGTTAATTACCTATGTTAAAACTTGTCCGAATTGGGTTTGTGATAGTTCATTCGACGCAGAATCATTGGTTTCATAATGTACAACCTTTAAATCATTAGTAACGGAGGAGTAGTGAAAAAGTTATAAGACAACAAAGAAACTGGAGTGAATTTCGAATTTGAAGGTTACATGTGACATTTACATGACAAAACTTTATTTTCTCAATCTTTACAACTCAACAACTTATTCATCACACATCAGA